TAAATACAACTGAGTGAGAAAGCAAAGTTTGTAAAGAACAAAGACTATAAGGCAGCTTTATTTGTGATAATGCTTATTTTACTGGAATGACTTAAACAAAGACATAATTATGCTCTTACACAGGGCTTACTAGTTTTAACTTAAAAATGTTTTGATGACAAAATTTATGATGTATGATGCTGAGAGGAAAAAAAAAAGATTGCAAGAGAATCATCAAATAGGAGATAGCTTGCATGAAGCTATGAATTAATTCTTCTGCTCTAATCAATTATGGTGGTCTCTGCTAGACTCTGGACCCCATTTTGTACACTGAACTTGACGAACAGTATCAAGTAATTAGAGAGATTCCTGAGATACAACAAGTTTGATGAAAGGTCTACAGTACCTGAATTGTAAGTAATGATCCAAAACTCTACATTTATTTTGAAGAAAATCAAATTGAAGGAAAAGCAGTATATAAGATGTTCTAGAGGCAGGCAGAGAGGGGAAGTAATTTATTCCCCAGAACCGTGTGAGAATAAGCAATAATGAGCAGTTTGCAAAAAATGAGGCCAAGAAAAACACTTTAAAGAAAAGCTTAACAATATAAAACAATGGCTGGGGCATCTTTTGGAGTCTTCAGTAAAAGATTAGGCAAAAATCTCTCAAGAAGGACAAATAAATCCAATCTACTTTTCAGCATGGATATGAACTAGATGAGGTCTCCTTGCAACCCATGAAATCCAATGTTGTAGAATGAGGCATTAAGTAATTTATTTCTTCTTCAAAAGCCTAACAAAAACTCCTGTACTACCCTAAGGTATTTATTTGGAGTTAAATTTAATTCTACTCTTCTACATCAGAAAAAATCAGTCATTACCACAAATTAGGAATCAATGAAAAAAAGATTGACAACTTAAGATTTAATGATTAATGAAATAAGCATGAAAAATTGGAAGAGCTAATCTAATAATCATGGTGTATTTCCATATCTTCATTACAGAATATACCAAATAGGAAATTGAAAGCAAAGGGGAAGAACATTTTAAATTTGTAAGTATGGTTTTATGTCCTGACCACAGTACTGTATGTGATCGTCTAGTGACAATTACATCTGGCAGACAGACAACCAACTGGAGCTCAGTGGAAAATGGGATTATCTTTATTAGCAGGCTCCTAAAAAATAGAATATCCCTTTACTCCTCTCCTTCAAAAAAGAGATTAAGTGTAATCTAATCTGCAACGCTGATCACAGTACTCTCATTTAAAACTACACTGAAAAGATCCAATGCTCTAGAAAATCCTGAGAGAGAGAGAGAAAACAATTTTTCTACCTGCAGTGAACACCTTTCAATACCTTCCTTCAAGTAGGGTTTACTGGACTTTACGGATCATGAAACACAGCTAATTCAATTAGGTATAAAAAAATCAAAGTCAGTAAATTAGATTTGGTTTTATTTCATGCTGATATGTATTTGTACAACACATGGGATGCTTTATGATTTGAAGTTATTGTCAAAAAGAAATGTGGTTCTAAACCTGCAGACACTAAAAAGGCTGTACGAAGTGATTTCTTGTGACTGCCATCTTCCATTTCTAAAGGAAAGATGTTTATAGATTAAAGAAGCAACAACAACCACAGTTACCAGTAGGTTTATTCTTTAGACCTACCCCTGAAGACAACTTTCTGCCCATTATCTTAAGGGACTGAACAAAAAAAATTGCATTGCTGTCATTGTGCAATACAATTAGAATAGATAAATCTCCACAGTCATCAATCCAGTATGGCTACAAACACTGGCAAGCAAAACATGCCTTTGGTATTCCAACTAAACAATAAAATTCAATAATCTTTCAGCTCATCTACTAATTTAAAGGACAAAAGGGGGGGTTATAAAGAAGGGAGGGAAAGAAAGGCAAAGACGATGACTCAACAAGATAATACAATTCATTAAGATTAAAAAATGCTCAAATCCAAGAATCTCGAACTTGCGGGGCAGGGGATAAAGATGGTATGCAACAAACAGGTAATAGCCCCTTTATTCCTAAGAGTGAAAGACAACATAGAACCACATTTTTACTTTTAAATAAACTCAAATTCATGTGGATGTACTCACCTCACCTCAGTATTTTGACATGTATTAGTCAACAAAAGCTCTTTAACAAAGCAGTTAAGAGGTCAAATAATTGTTATACTTACTGATAATGTACCCATGATGGACCAAGGGTTTTCTTAAACTGAGTGAGTCCCACAATATCAATGTAAATGAGTTCTACAACTTTATCCCCCTGGGTAGGGCAGCCAGATCTGTTACCCACAACCTTCTTCATAATCCTAAACAAAGAAAAAAGGAATACAAAAAGCATTACTTTCCAAATACCTTGAATAAATCCTGTAATACTATTTATAACAATAATTTCCCTTTCCAAAGAAGCCTTTTCCCAAGGCTTTTCCAAATCAGGAACCACATAAGAACATTCAAATGCTAAAGGTGCTCAGCATTTATTAAAGAACTGTTTATACATCGGTAAATCGCTAATTTTCACTAAAAACCACACCTAGTTTAAACAAGAGAGTAACATGGTTGGAATGTTTAAAAATAGCGAGCTTTGAAATTATTTGAAGTAATTTTTGACTTCTATTGACAGCTTTATAGTATAAGAGCTCTCTATAAAATGATGCTGTCATGCTTGTTATAAAAAAATGGGAGTTACCAAAAAAGTGTATGTGCTCAAGCTCAAAACAGATGTTTTATGCCTAATGCTGAATAAGTATGCAAAGCAAGACATAGATGAGTGAGGTAGCAATTTGACCTAACATAAGCAATTAACCACATCAAAAGTAATGTGTTTAAAGGATTTAAACCTTTATTTTAAAATAAGATACTGAGTGAAGAACACCACAAACCAAAGAAGAGTGCACAGAATTAGGCTAGTCTGTAACATTTCCTATTGCAGCTGGTTAAAGCACCTGGAATGTTAAAGAATAAGCTGCTTAGTTTGAATTTTACAACATTCATTTATGAAGTCTCAGGAGCCTGAAGCTACAATGAAAACACATTATCCTTTTCATAGCACATATACTTAGCTCATGAAAATAATCTTATTGTCTGTTTAGTAAATTATCACTTTTATTTTATGCTTCAAGAAATTATATACTGTTAATAGAAGCTTCAAGAGTTTACAATTCATGGGGTTTTTATTCCAGTTTCAAAAGTCAAAGTAATCTCCTTACTCCTTGAGCTCTGCCAGTGAAGCTGAAATCCTGATGTCATGGCCCAATAAGTAGAGAGATGTAATTAAATCACTCCACTGGACTAATTCACCAAGTGGGCCTCCGCTAAACGCATTTTCTGCAATCTTGAATCCAGATTCTTTTGTCAAAAGCCCCAGATGAACAAGAATCTAGAAAGGAAATTCATATGTTAAGTTATCAACATTAAACATTCAACTACAATACCTCACAGCATTTTTTCTTTCTATTGAATTCTAACTATGGCTAAAAAATACTAATCAAAAAATTCCAATACTCCCATCCCAATAACTTTATCTTGTAATGTATCTCTAGAACAGTAATTATAAGAATGGTACTGCATTGTTTTGTGCTATTATCTGCCACCAGATCAGTAATTAAACCCCCCAAATCAGTGTTATTGACAAAATAATCTGTAATTCTGCACAGCAAGTTGTGGCTCATATAAACTTATTTTGATTGAATAACGACTTATATTCTCAAGTAGGATAGACTTGCTTATGCAAGACAGTATAGTTAAGGAAGGTTGTATTGTTGTGAACAAGCCATTAAGAACTTGGAAAGACTGCGTAACAGTTAACAGGATGCTTTCCAACATTTCCTCTCCATTGCCATTGGAGGAGAGTTTTCTCTGTAGTCCTTGGAACCTGTGCTTGCTTTTCTAACGAAGCACAGAAGTTGAGTTCCAAACACTTTGATGCACATCTGGACTGCTATTTGAATGTGGGTACATACAGTGTCAAGCATAAAAATTCCCCAACATCCAAAACCCTTTTCCCTGACTGTTTAAAAAGAAGCAACATTCAAAAAACCATTTTGTTCTAATCCCTTGCAGCTCCCAGGACTGAACTGGACATATTAAAATGAAATGACTGTATGTTTTAAAGAGCAACCTCAAAGGACTTTTAAAAGCAAAGAATACGCACTAGAGCATCCCATCAAAACAGCCTGTGCAGGACAGTACTGCTGTTTATTCTTATGTATTCTCAGATGTTATATTTCTTTAATAAATCGGCCTGGAGGGCTGCTTGAAAGAGAAGGGTTGCTCCTTGACAGAGGGTGAACCTACTCAAGGGCTGTAGTATGTGACAAACATTAGAGCTGCAACATGGAGCCTACACCTCATGTTAGGACTTAGAATCTCAAGCAAGGAGCTGAGCTGCAGCCAGCCAGGCTTAAGAGAGGGTAGAAACATGACTGTGCATGACCCACTGTCAACTGGGACTGGCCCCAGTAAGAACAAGGCAGGAAGAGAAACCATTGTTGTGTTTACAACTTTGGGCTTTATCTTAACTAGTTAATTAAAACAACCAAACAAAAAATCAAATAAAATAAAACTTTTCACTTCAAGAATCTCACAGTTTTTAAATTGAACTAATTACAGGATATCTAAACTGATCCAATCCAAAGTTGTGGTCAACTTTAAGTCTACTCAAATCCAAAACAGAAATACATCATTTGTACAAAGAAGATGCACAACTGTTGCTTTCTAAGACTACGTAAAACACTCCAGTGTCATCAGCTTTCAGTAAATTCCCAGTTTCTCCCTTTAGAAACTTCTACATAGTCTCTATTTTACCCAAAAATAAAGAAGTTAGAAAACTTACTCAAAGATTGACTCATGGAAAGTATGTAAAACTATTTGTAAAGCAAATACTTATTGTAACAGTAATTCAAACAGTGAAATACTTCTTGAAAAGAGGCACAAGTATAAACACAAGCCTTTTAGACATATTTGGTATTTCCACTCTGAAGTTACTTCTGGAAGAAGAGGCTTAAAAGAGCCTGTATGACTGCAACTTTTAGGAATGAAAAATTTTTTTGTTTACCTTTTTTCGTTTTCTCTTCTCCAAATTTTGTTTTTCTGCAAGTGATTTAATTGCTTCAATCCAGGTATCAGCCATTCGTCTGATGCGTAACATCATCCACCTGAATTCCTCGTGTCTTGACATCATTTTGTAGAGATTATCAAAGTTGATACGAATTTCAGCCTTCAGCATTAAAAAAAAAAACCTCAAACCATTAGTTATTCTTCAAATAGCGTAATTTCTAGAAGTGAATAAGCTTCTCAAATGTGAACTCTGTGCTTTACATTCCTCATTATAAAAAAATAGAAAAAAAGGATACATTCCTAATGCTAAAGTCGAGATTTTAGTTCAAATATTCAAGATATTTTTAAACAGACTTTTCTAAGCCACATAAATTACTGTTATTTTTATTAGTAGCATTTGGTAGCCCCAGAATACGTTTGCAATGTTCAAAATGTATTTATTTCTGCAATATAAGATTTGGTTTTGTTGGTGTGTTTCAAAATGAGGTTAAAGTATCTCTAAACCACGACATAAAATCAAAACATTATGCTGAAGATTCACGTATATCATGAATCTTCCAAATACAAGGAAGTCTCCTATGATACCATGAAGAAAGAAACATTACTAGAGTATAAATTTTAAGGGAAATATTAATTTTAAAGCTACACTGATCTAAGAACAATCGCTTTTACAAAATGAGACAGCCTATATCAAATTATGTAAGCAATGTTCATATACAGCCCAGCAATTATCTTAAAATACCTAAGTGCTACATAATTACGCTGTAACAGTTTAGAAACAACTCTGCATGCTGTAGAGTTTTTAACGGAAAAAAATTAGGAGCAATCAAAACGTTACTGCAAAACTGAAGCCTCTTCTGCTAAGGCATTTTTATATATAAGGCCCAGATTTAGTGGACAATAAAAATGGATGGTTTCACATATGGTCACTTAACACTGGTGAACAGTCTATGGATTTGTAATTTTTCCTCAGTATCTGTGTATGATATTTCATAAATATGAACACAAAAATGTTGTTAAGGGAAATCTACCACCAAGACTGCAGCACGATACAATGACTGGAGAAAATACACTATGAGCTATATACGTATAGTCAAGGATGTTTCCCTTCAGTTTTGAGGATTTGAGGAATAACAATGGTAAATTCTAGTCTTATTAGCATTGATGTGTCACAGGATTCCAGGATCTTTTGCATGAATCACAATTACTGAATTATTTCTCATGTGTCAATGTCACTCTTACCACTGTTTTTTGATCAGTTTCTTCATTAGGATTTTTTGCTCTCCAAGGTAAACGAGGACACCAGTTTTCAACCTGTAAAACAATCACATGAAAATAAGTCATTCTATTCTACTTTCACAGCTGGTCTACCAAAATCTCTCACTACCTTTATATTATACCTTTCTGTGGCTTAAATAAGGCATCAGCTGATTAGTAAGTAACTGCAAGGTAAAACTAATTTTTGCAAGAAAAGCTTAAGAAGACTTTTGCAATTCAGCACTCTTTTAATCTTGCAAATTTGCAACCAAAAGTCACATTTAGATATTCATTCATGATAACGAACACAGGATATAAAACCCTTTCAAGACAGAGGTCAGCTGTTAAAAGCTCTAAATAGGGTTTATCTGAGCAGTTCCTAAATGTTTTCAAAAAGCACTAAGTTTTCTTATGCTTCTAGACCTTAAAAAAATACATATTTTGGAACATTTCCCATCCCCCTAGAATACCTTTATAAAAAGGGAAAGCCTGATGAAACTCAAGGATCAAAGTTCTACCTTGTAGCAATCTAGGCAAAAGTTGAAAGAATAAACGCAAAGCCACCCTATTTGAAGGGTCTAAGTAACATAAGTAACAATATCCGCAAGTACTAATAGCTGTAATTCTTAGATAAACAGTCAGTGCAAATGCAGTACTTCTACTACTGTCTACCAGAAAAAAAAAAGTACAACAGCTAGTAGTTAGGGAAGAAACAGGATGCAAGTCACTGAAAGCTCCTGTAGTCTCCCTCCTAGGGATCTTGTTTGTCTTGTAGACTTTATTATTCACATGCCTTAAGAAATTAAACCATTCACTCCAGGGAAGAAGGAATCTCACTGTTGGAGGCAAATCCGTGAAAACAGAAACATAACTGTACTGTGAAAAGGGAGAAATGCAAAAATTTATAGGCCAGCTAAGACACCCATCACTGCTGATTAAGTTCACAACTCCCAGAGAATTAGAAGTCAGAGTTGCTCTTATGGTTCCTCCAGTCATAGACCTGTCAAAACACAGTTTTAGCTTAATCATGCTGCAGTAAGCCTGAAGCATTAGAGATTAAAAGCTTAAGATCATACCAAATGATTGCCTAGAAGACCAGTCACATGAAAATAAATTAGCAGACATCATAACCTCATCAAAGAGAAGAATTGTATCAAGCATAGGTTCCTCACACAAATTACATAGAAGCATTAATTTGAATGCTATGACAATCCACTCAACGTATTTAATACAACAACTGAAAGCAGTGACTTGATCAACCTTGTTTGAAAACATCCAATTCTTCAGTGGTCCCCAATTCTGGAAACATACTAGAAATTGTAGCAATCAACAATCTTAACTTTTACTAATGTAAGTTGTGGAATTGTTGGTAGAAGAGAGTTGCTAGCTCCGTATTACAAATCATGTACGGTCTCAATCTCTCTCCTTTTAATAATACAAATAATTTTTAGTTATTCCTAGCATTAAAACTGGTCTATATTAATATATAACATTTCAAGGACTACTGTATGTGCCACTTTTCTGGCTTCATGTGTTTCACATCACGCCATCAGGCATCCTAAAGGAACTGAAGATTTTTCAGAGCTGCCAAGAAACACAAATACAGTTCTTTCGCGCTTTTAGAAATATTTGCTCTACTCTAAGTTACAGTAATTCTAATCACAAATAAACACTTAAGGATTAGTTCCAAAGTAATATCAGTATATGCAGTTGGTCTAGCATTCATTTTTCCGTATTGATATTCAGTCGATTCCTCTTTTCATCGGAAAGATGAACTTAATTCACTGGAGGATTTTTAAATACATACTCTTCAAAATATGCCAGTTGTTTTGTTGTTTTCAGGACTGATAAATGCACTGGGAAGAATGCACAGGCATTCTCTTACAGAAAAAGGAAAGAATTCTGCTCATTTTTATGAGCCAATGGCTCACAAAGAGTTGTTAGATAGAAGGATAATAATTAACAAGAGCACCAAGAAAGCAAAGATGAAGCAAACAAATCTGGCATATCATGGGAAGGGGAAAGAAGAAAAAACCTTATTAAATTAATATATTGACTGAAGGGAAAGTGGGGATGAAGAGGCAAAATATTGACTGACAAACTAGCCAAACTAGGATTACTTTAATAGTGAATTTCAGGTATTCTTGGGCAAAAAAGATCGGGGTATACATGCCCCTAACATGGAAACATGATAGCAAACCTAGCCAAAATGCTAATACAAATTCTGTTGTTCAGAACATGAGTTAATTTTGCAGATAATTAAAGAATCAACTGGAGTTAATAAGTCATGGTTCCAAGACAGACTGAGAGGAAAATCAGAATACAATTAAGAGTGATGGCATCAGGCAGAACACTCAACCACTCAACCGTGTTCATGCACCAGAAGTCACTTCTAGACCATAGTAGATACTATCAGGAACACACAGAGTGAAGAAAGCAGAAGTGAAACACTATAGCAGGGAAATCTACTGAAGTTGTAACATCTGTATTTAGAGGTGCTAGGTACTCAAGAAATACCACACTTCTAACAAAACCAAGTTTTCAGAGGAAACAAAGATACTTCTCTCATCTCCGGTTCTTGCTTCCTTGTTCAGTGAGAGCTGCAGATGATCAACAGTTTATATATGCTTTGGTAGAAGGGAGAGGGATTTCAACCTACGCAACTGCACAACGTACCTAAGACTTCAGAGGCAGCCTTTGTAGAACTATTGGAAAAGGAAACTATAGCACTGACAGGCTTCCACTACAGAATTTAAAAGCCTGCTGATTCAATGATACTTATACAAGATACCTAGCATACTGCTAAGTTTTATTGCTGCTTTCCCCAAAAAAACAAAGTAACTGCATTTTTATATGTATTCCAAGTAAAAAGCTTCCAGTTAACTGTGATTTTGCATTGCACTATGTAAAGTTAAGGTCTACAGCAGTAGAAAACCTCAGTAAAGACTGCTTAAAAATCCTGTAAAGAAATACTACTCAGTATTTTGTGTCAGAATTAAAAGCAACAGTTTGCACTAACCCAGACGTGTAGCAAAATGAACTTTGTGTTCCTCTCCACTTAGCCCCATGTAATGATACACAGTCACGCAGAATATATACTACTTCTGTTGCGTCATTTCTGAAAGATGTGTAAAAGTCATCTACACTGGCCTTTTTCAAGACAACCACTTTATGCTCTTTCACTCCTTGGCCTTCCTCTCTAGCTCAATGTACCAGTATTCAATTCAAACTGAGCACTTAAGCATTTCCTGTCCAGAACATGCAATTTCTCACATTTAAGCCTAGGAACTACTTCTAATTGCAGCTCTGGGCAGGACCTACAGTTTCATGAGAACTTCAGATGACCTGGCAAGTGGGTATGTGGGTTGGTTTGTTTGCTTTTTAAAGAACCAAGTATTGCCACTTTGGCTAATCACTTCAGGGTTTCTCATACAGACCACCACAAGGATGCCTATAACTAAATATGAAACCTAAGTGGTTAAGTGATTTTCCTGGTTGCCTTGCATGACCCAGCTATGGTCCACAACAGTCAGTCTAGTGGTACTCGTCATCTCTGAACAAGTCCTGCAGCTGTTTTTCTCAGATTCAGACTATTAACCACTGCCATGGGAACTCGTTTGAAAATAAAGATGCGTGCTATAGTTATCAAAAAAAGGCTCATGAAATGATCTTTTTCCCAGCAAATACCAGTGAAGACTTAATCCATTTTTCTCAGACTTAACGATGTAAGATAAGTACAAGTCAGGTCTTATTTCAGTGAGTATTAACTTCCAACTGTACATGTGGGAGAAAGAAAGGTAAAGAATGTCTAAAACTGCTCAGATTGACTTGAGTGGAGGCCTTCAGTCTCCTTAATCTTGTGTGACAAATAAGCACCAACAGCAATGCAAACTCTGTGAAAACACCTGGTGCCTGGAACTTGCTGTTCTCCTCTTGCTCCCAAATTGCCCAAAGAAAGCCTATCAGCTTTCATTGAAACTACCAGGGATGAGACAGAGATAGGGCAGAGAATGTGACAGGAAGAATTAAAGGCTTAATAGAATCATAGAATCATAGAATCATAGAATGTTTGTAGTGCTTTGGCTGATTTTGTATTGTACCACTAACTCTTAACAAAAAAGTTTGCAGAAAATGCAACAACATTAAAGCATAACTTGTCCTAGGCCAGGAATATTTGTGATTAAATAACATGTACAATGGGAAAAAAAGTGTGTGTCCATATACATACATTGTGTGTATAGATGTATGTGTATGTATATGATTATAAAGGGGAAGATGATACAGCATGTGCTAAGGCTGCTGTATGCAGTTACAAATCTGGTATTGTTCCTTTCATACACACCTTTTCTCTATCATTGGCAATGATGACAGAAAGCATTATGATATCACTAAATGGGTCCATCACAAATGTTTAAATATTTCAGCTTTATATTTGTTTAGGTACAGAATATCCATGTGCAACAAACCCTAAGTTTGAGCAAGGAGAAGCAGAGCAGCAGCGTCCATTTAGATCCTGCTCTTCAACTTGTTTATACATTTCTGTTCAATCATTTAAGACAAAACACAAACCTTGTCTTCAAAGAAGAAACAAGGAGTCCTCTTCCCCCTTTCCAGGACAACTTTCCTCTTACTGGGTTAGCATCAGTCCTTTCTCTAGCTTATTATTTTTATGGCCACAAACTGTTACACTGTCACGGCACATGACTGTATAGAAAGGATGTTATATCAGACTATAGATTAGAAGTAAATTGTGAAGCAGCAACTGCAGATTTGAAGACTGACCATTTTTCGGTTGAGTGATACAAATGCTATTCAGAACACACTATATTTATCCTTATATGGTCATATTTTTAGTAAGACCAGCTGTGTTTCCCTTACCTAGTGTTAAATTCAATGCCCATCAAATGCATTAGGTGGTCTTCGATCACACTCAGGAGACTAGATCCACCTGAGAAGTCAAGCGTTCCCTACCTGGTTTTGAATTGCAGTAGACACAGCACTGTCCAGAGCATATGTAGCTAGCTCCATAAGGTTAGGCTGCATTGTACTTCAAAAGT